GTTATACGTAAGCCGTAGAGGCCAGCTACTTGTCTGTGACGAAGTTACCAAAACTATTGGTGGCTGTGGCACAGACAGTTAAATTCCTAGGTCTCAATGACTGATTGGTTTGCAGATCAGGTATACGACTTTTAACGAGCTTATAGACAGGGTTCACTGAAGTCAAGGTACAAATACACTTGCGACACGCGGAAAGAGTGAGCGGTATACTCTGACATGTCAGAAGAAGGAGCACCGCTGCGCTTTAGTGACCGACGTCGGTTGGCCTTTTGTACTATATTGCCGCAGTGTACGGTCCACGTCAGATCGTCACTTATATACTCGCCGAGAGACTTAAACGATCTCACTCGCTCAAAGATGGTGCCGCTTGTAGAAACAGACGGGCATTGACAGCTGTTATAGTGCAAAAGCTCACCGACATAACCTTTGATTTAGTTGTCCCGGGGATAGCCAAAATGCCCGTCTTCTGGTTAATAATAAAATATCAGATGCCCCACCTTCAGAATTAGGACATAAGCAAATGTCCAGCTATTGCCTACAGGGGCCTAGACACTGCTGAAATTAATTGATGCATTACTTCCCCTTAAGGAAGTTCACTTAAGGATGGCGGGGCTGGTAAGGTTGCATGCAAAAACAGGCTAGTTTTTTAGCACAGCTAGGCGAGTTACACCACATACGGAATCAAGTTTCATGGCCTTACGTCCATTCAATGACCTGTTCATTTCAATTATCTTGCATTCTCATCTAAATATCTCTTTAATACCTTGGCAAACAACTCAGTACAACATAACTCGTACCCAAAGCATGCAAATGAAAGACAAAATTATACACATTATCAGGAGCCGATATTCAGGAGTTCCTGATAAATTTTATACACCTGTTGTTTTCACAAGTTTGCTCATAGAGCATTTTATTTTTACCAGGGAACAATTTGCCGGACAAGATTAGGAAATCAGCGTCACTTCCAGTATTTAGGAGAACCTTACAACAGCTGCTATTGCCATCTCTGTTAATAGTAAAAGCGTTATTGACTTTTTACTATTTATATTATTATTTTATTACTTTTGTTTCTATATTTAAGCTATTTAATATCACCATTTAAAATTAACATCTTTTGCACATTTCCATTCATTATATGCGATATGTGGATAAAATAAGTTACTACTACTAATAAGATCCTGTTCACACGACGCCGGCCAGAGGAATTTGAAAATGGAGCTTTCACCCTGAAAACGCATCAAATGATTTCCATTCACACTAGGCCGGTAGTGTGGAAGCTGCCTTATTTTTTGTCGTTATATCGACTTCTATCTATTACTACAAGGTCATCAGCCCTTAGAAAAAAAGCATATTGTAAAACTGTATTCAAGAGATCCGTTTTCCCGTTTTTTCATCAAGTTGTAAAAACATTTTTTCTTGTTGTTGTTGTTGAAATCAACATTACCTACTCGAGTTTTCTTTTCTGTATTTGTATATTGTATATTTTTTCCTCTGTAAACTAAAGAAAAATGAACGTGTGCGTTGTTGTTGTCTTTATGAAATGGATAAATTTCGAGACGTTTCCCTCCTTTGTCAAAACAAAAACCCACTAACACCAACATGACGTACATGTTTACCTTATTGTTCCACTGAGCTGCATTCAACTGCAGAACTCAGCAATGCACTAATTGGTAGCTAAAAAGTTTAGATAGGCTGTAGACTGTGTGCTACTCGTAAGATTTACCACGCGCACCTTTATTTCTGTTCCACCAAAGTACAAATTTATTTCAATGTCCCTGGTTTTCCAAGCTTCTGGTATCTCAAGTACCAATCCTCGACCAGGAGTCTTTTCCACATCAGAATCGGTGACAGACTCCAAATCTGAACGTCCTGATCGGAAAGAACCAGTTTTTCCGTGTCTTTGTTCGCCTGTTAAACAAGCAAAGCTGGGGAATCTACGCTTTTCCCCGACTTTAACGACTTCATTGACTTTGACGAATTTGAGGAAGACATCTTTACAGCGTGGGATTCCTGCTATGACTTTTTTCTTCGATTCCGGATGCAGCCCATCTAAAATCCACTTGTGTACACGGATGCCGTAGGTCAAAGTCATTATTCGAGACTCAAGCAGGTCAGGTTTCTGCCCAAACATCACTGCTCCTTGAACAACTGCCATAGTAGCGTTGCGCGGCAATAAAATGCGGTAAGGGCTACCAAAATGATTCTTGATCATTTCCTGAAGAATTGCCGAGTCAGCGAAACCTCCTACGAGAAAGACTTACTTAACTCTCGACAATTCTGGTCTGGAGAATAGATTGGAGAAATGCAAAATGACGCCATCCAAGGCTGGAATAAAAAGCTGCCTTGTGACTCTTGGCGCAAGACAAAGGTACTCGTTACGGAGGGACTTTGATTTCGTCCAGGCTGTATTGCTGTTGGATCAGAGCGTTTATATCTCAACCCTCGCTGCTTGGAAATTTGTCTGTAAAACTACTAGGTAACCAAACCCCTTGTCGTTTGTCCCTCCAACAGTCGCTTCAAGCGTTTCTTCCATTCTAAATTTTCCATGAGGCAAAATCGATCGACGGGGTTCTGACGGGCATAATTCTCGATAAACGTTTGGGTAAAAATTGATTCAAGAAGGTTTCTGAACTG